TGAGTGGTTTCTTGGCAGGGAGCCCATTCTCATGATGAAAGCTGGGAAAATTTGCTTGGGGAAAGTAATCCAATGATATGAAAGGATTAGGCAGGCTTACATTTAGCAAACTCTAAACCATGAATCTGAATGATGCACCTCTTCTCCACAAAGGCAGCTGCTTTCCTTGTAAAATAGAGCAACCACAATTAAATGAGCGGAGAAACTAAAGAGAGAAGGGTGTTTCAAAATGATATTGCACGCATAGAAACCAAGTTTGCCATCAGTAATTCCTCATCAGCGCTAACAGAAGAGTCATCTCAGCAAAGAGAACAGCTCCCCGACACCACCCCAAAGACAGGTGGAAACTTCTACCACCTCAAACTTGCACAGACTTCAAGTTCACCTTCCATCTCTTGCTCATATTGGTCCAGCCACTTAATTATTTCACCTCGGAATACTTAGCTATTAGTGACACTAATTAAAACCTGCCTTGCCCTTAGATGTATTATGAAGCTGTTTGTAAAATGCTGTGAAGGCAAATTGTTCCAAGAGCTATCAATTCTGGTAGAGGCCGTGTCAGCTTCAGTTATGTGCTCATAAATGCAAATCCAACCTGGTCAATAATCTCCAGGGATGGTCTGAATTGCACAGCTGGCGTTTTAGAAAATGTGTGTGGAGGAACATGAAAAGATTGCTGAAAATGCCTAAGTAAGGTTAGATAATAAGTGGAACTATATGGGCAGGGGGAAGGAGAACAAAGAAGATATTATTGGGCATCAGATATGTACTGTATTGTACAAAGGGGTGATTTAGGCTGGGTCAGCAAGGTATTGGGGAGGAGGTTATTAAAGTAAGAAGTCAGCACAAAGCATAATAAGACTGATGACACAAGTTCCCAATTGTGCCTGCTCCAGGTCCTTTTTTTTCTTTTGCTGGTTGCCCTCTTGTCATTGCCCATGGTAGCACTGGGGAAATAAAGGTGGAAGACGACTCCTCTAGTCACCAGTGTGTTGAGTCTATGGACTTTCATCTTAGGACTCCTTCTCCAGAATATTATTTCACATAATATAAATATAAAACTTATTCAGCCCTTGAAGTAGATAACAAAACTCACTCACTAGTATGCCTGGCTTTCTCATATGATGGATGCATAAATACATGATGGATACATAGGTGAATGGATGGTTGGATGGATAAGTCAAAGCGTCATTCATTGAGTTATTAAGCAAATATTTAGTAAGTGTGTCCTTTGTGCCTGGCATTGTTCTAGGTGATGGGGATACAGGGGTGAAAAGACAAGGTGTCTGTACTCAGTGAGATTATGTTTCAATCAGGAAGACATGCAACAAACAAGTAGACAAATGTATGTGATAATGACAATGAGGATAATAAAATGGGGTAAAATTTGTGACATCATGGATGGACCTAGAGGGTATCATGCTACGTGAAATAAGACAGAGAAAGATATTGGCAATCTTTCATTAAGACTTCATAATCTATTTGTATCAAGCACTTGAGTCATTGATCTGGGCTATACCAGGTACTCTTTTTTTTTTTTTGCTTCTTTTATCTTTTCTTATTTCTTTTTTATATCTCAGTCTTACACAGATCCAGAATTTTGGTGAGAGTGCTCTCTGAAGACTGCATCTGATGTTTATCAGATGCTCAGTGAATGAGCTTATTCCACTTAAATGTGGGACAGTTGGATGCTGCAAATCAGGAGATAATGGCAAATAGATACCTAGTCTATTCTTGGGTTCCACTGGGCTCTGGAAAGTATTTATTTGTCTTATTGTTACATTCAGATGTGTGTTTAAATATATAAAATAATACATAGTAGGTTTTGCTTTCTCATAAGTGAGGAAAGCCATTAAATGCTGGCAATGAGTAAAAAAATTATTATTATTATTTGTATTTTTGAGCTGTTAACACCACATGATTCAGTCTTAAAAGAAAAAAAAAATCCGGATATCTTATCCTTCACGTGTCCATACAGGTTAAGGCTACTGATAATGCTGAATATGTCAATGACATATATGTACCTTATGCAAGCCACTGGAAATCATAGAAATGATCATGAAGAAATTATTATTTATTTTATTTTATTTTTTAATTTTCACTTTGTTTAAACTACCTCATCCCATCCTTGCCTCTGGCAACCACCAATCTGTTCTCAGTATCTATGAGCTTGGTTTGTTTATTTAGAAAATTCTGCATATAAGAGAAATCATACAGTATTTTTCTTTTTCTCACTTATTTCACTTAGCGTAATGCCCTTGAGGTCCGTCCATGAAGAAATTATTTTTATCTCATCTTTTGTTTCAAAACCTCCTTCCTCATGAGTAGCCAACATATGTCATTATCTATCGGTGACTGCAATTTCATAATGTTCCACTTTTCACCATTTCCTTTGTGGTGGGTGCTGTGGTGTCCACTGTACAGATCTCCCTCCAGAAATGAAGGACTTGTTCTCTGTCCCCCATACCTCCCAGTTGCTGGGAGTGCAACCAGAAGGCAGCTCTCAACCATCAGCTCTCATCAGTTCTCGTTGAAATGATGATGATGAAGAAAAATGCCCCATCCAAGGTCATTTCTCCTTCTAGGGGCTGACTAATCAGCCTGAAACACCTCAGTGTGTTCAGAAATGAATCCCTCAGTCCTTCCCCAAAGGGACTATGGCCGCTTACTCTGATAACTTTGCACTGGGAAAAGGGGAATGCTCAAATATGTTCAAAGACTGTTGAACACAGAGCCAGAGTTGACACTTTGGAGACCTAGAGCATCATCTTGGGCCCCCTTTGATAGTGGGGGTATATGAAAGCTAGTAATAAATGGAGTTCTGGATCAGGTATGGCTCACAGTGAATTCACTGGATCTGTGGACCCACCTGATGATTATTTCTCCAGTCCCTGAATGTATAATTAGAGTAGATGTACTTAGTAGTTGACACAACTCCCACGTTGGATTCTTGGACTGTGGGGTAAGAGATATAGTAAAGGTCAAATGGAAGCTCCTGAAATGGCCTCTCTCCATGCTGCCCACTGACAAGAGAGAAAAGCAGAAATAATATTGTGTTCTGGGGGTAATAGCAGATATTAGTACCAGTCTTAAATATACCAGATGGTGGTCCCAGTGATATCACACCTTATAGACCAACCTGGTACCTGAACACAGCAGATCAATTCTGAAAGATAACAGTGGACCACTGTAAACTTAACCAACTACTAACCCCAACTGCAACTTCTTTGTTGAACAAATTACCATGGCCTGAGATATATGGTATGTGGTCATTCCTCTGGCTATCTCTTTCTTTTTCAACCCTATTAGAAAAGAGGATCAGAACCAGCTTGTTTTGACTTGGAAAGGACAAGAATATCTACTTATGGTTTTGCCCCAAGGCCATGTTAATTCTTCTGCCCCCTGTCATTAAATAGTCTGAATTATCTGGACATGCTATAGAATATTACTTTGGTCTACTGTGTCAATGATATCATGCTAATCAGGTTGCCTAAGTCTTACTTTGGTAAAAGGCATACACTTCAGAGGGTGGGAGATAAGCCCTATAAAGATTCAGAGACCCACCATATCAGCAACATATTTAGGGGCTCCTACTCTGAGACATGCCAGGATATCCGTTCAAAAGTGAAGAACAAATTATTGCATCATATACCTCCCACCTCAAAGAAGAAAGCATAACATACAACTCTTGGTAAGCTTCTTCTGGTTCTGGAGGCAGCGTATTCCATATCTGGGAGTACTGCTCTAGTTCATACAGTAGATTACATGGAAGGCTGCCAGCTCTGACTGGTGCCCAGAGCAGGTACAGGCTTAGGCCATATGACCAAGTAGGCCCTACAGTATTGGAGATATCAGTGGTGGGAAAAGATGCTTGTGGAGTTTATGGCAAACCCAGTAGGAGAATTACAATATAGACCCTTAGGTTTCTGGAACAAAGCAATGCTATCTGCAGTGAAAATTATATATAGCTTGTGGGGTCTAATAGAGACTTTATTCTTGACCATGACAATACATCAAGTGACCATATGGACTGAATTCGGTCAGACTCCTAAGGCTGAGAAGACCTAATAACAGTCCATAGTAAAATGAAATTGGTACATCCAGGAATGAGCATGAATAGGACCAGAGGGCACAAGCAAACTGCAGAGAAAGGGAATCCAGAGCCCCAGGTCATTTACCATGGTTGCACCAGTGCCTCCCCTTAGCTCACTTAAAAAAAAAAACCAAACACGATTTTATTTATTTATTTGAGAGAGAGAGAGAGAAAGAGAAAGGGAGCACACAGTTGGCGGGGGGTGGGGGTGGGGGTGGGGGGTGGGAGAGGGGCAGAGGGAGAGAGGGAGGAGCAGAGGGATGCCGAATGCAGATGCTTAAACTCCTGAGCTACCCAGGCACCTCTCCCTTAGCTCACTTCTATAACTATATAGACTATGACTCTATGACTATGACCAGCTGATAGAAGAAGAAAAGGTCTGAGCTTGGTTTGTGCATAGCTTGACTTGGTATGTTTAAATTGAAATTCATGGTGATTGCACTACATCCTCCTCAGGGTGGCCTTGAGAGAAATGGTGACGGAAAATTCTCCCAGTGAATAGGGCTTCTAGTGGTGCACCTTTGTGTAGAAGAAGTGACCTCAAGGTTAGAATATATTCAGACTCTAGATCAGTGGTGAATGGGTTATTAAGGGGCCTGGAAGGAGAAAGATGGGAAGGTCAGAAACAAGGATGTCTGGGGTAGAGTCATGTAGATAGACATAGGGGATTAAGAAACAAGGTAGGAGATCTTTGTTTTTCATGATAAAGCTCACAGAGAGCATCCAGTGTGGAAGAGGCACTAACCAACCAAGTAGACAAAGAACTTGGCCAGATGACATCAGCCAGCCTCTGTCATCAACTCCCCCAGTGCTGGTCCAAGGGGGCATGAATAAAGTAGCCATGGTGGCCAGAATGGAGGCTGTGCATGGGCCCAACAGCATAGACATTCATGCTTCTCATCCCCAGGACTCTGGCTTTATGGTTGAGAGATCCTACTCCTAAAGGGGACCGTGAACACTTCTGTCAGGTCCCATTGAACTAGAAGCTATGGCTGCTACCTGCACACTTCAAGCTCCTTGTGCCAAGGGATCAGCAGGTAAGACGAGGAGTCACCATCTTGGCAGGGGCAACTGGTCCTAATCATGAGGAAGAGGTAGGGCTGCTGTTACACAATGAGAGCAGGGAGGAATATGGCATTCAGGTGATATAGTGGGTACCTCTCTGAACTTCCTTATCCAACTTTGATGGTAACTGGACAAGTTCAGCCACCCTGGCCTGAGACAGGCATGATGACCATTCACTTCTGAGGGTCTGTGTCATGCCCCCAGGAAAACCAGTGAGACTAACCAATGTGCTAGCTAAGGGGGAGGGTAATCCAGAACCAGTTGTAGAGGTGGGAAATTCAGTTATAGCCCTGACACCAGCTGCAGTGATAGGGGCAATAGTTTATCTCATTAAATTCCTCTCCTAAGTTTCCAGAGAATGTCAGAGTTGCTCCCAGAGTCATGTGAAGAAATGGATCTGAGTTGAGCAAGGGGTGGAGTGTGCTGGATACCAGGACACACTTCCCAGATCTTCCCTTAGGGCTGAAGGACAAATTCCTCTTCCTTCTGGGAATGCTGCTAGAAGATGACTCTCAGCTTTTAGCCCCTTTGTGATTGACTTAGCTAAAGAAACTTCCTTGCCCAAGGGACAGCTTATATCCAGTGACTGATCCATAAGGGGGTATGAAGTTTCAGTCCCATCCCCTCAATTCTGTTAAGCCCCAAAGAGCTATCTCCTAGATCCATGGCTCCATGGGGGATGGCTGAGGACTTTGTTGGTATACTGCAGCTCAGCTTCTGTCTCTGCTCAGTCTTGCATCTTTTCTTTCCCTTCAACAGGTGTTAATCCAAAGTATATGCCTTAATTATAGCACACACATCCTGTATGCCAATCTCCACCTCAGAGCCTGCTTCCTGGGGAAACACCTTCAAAACCATCAAGGTATCAAGACATGTTGCTGATGACCAACTGATCTCTTTGAGGGAAGCAGTGAATAGATTGGTGTTCAGATGTGCTATCTTCAACTCACTGGGAATTCCTTCCTTGAAGCACAGAGATGGAAATTTGCCAAAATTGATGCCAATTTACTTTCCCACTTTACATCACAACTCACAAAATAAGTGTTGAAAATTGTCTTTACATAGAACATGGATTCTTCAGTGATAAACCATCATCAGATGGACTATATCTCAGTGAAAAGAGTCTTGTAGATAATGGTGATGGCTGCACAACATTGTAAATGTATTTAATGCCACTAAATTGTTTGCCTAAAAATGGTTAAAAGTGGCAATATTTATGTATATATTTTTACCACAGTTAAAAAAGATCAATAATGCAACGTACCCAAAACCACTGACTTGTGTAAGTGGGTGAATTGTATGGTATATAAATTATATCTCAATAAAGCTGTTAAAAAAAGAGGCTCGGGGGAGTACTTCTCTTTCATATATGTGCCCTCTTGCTGCACTGAATTTTGTCCATATAGGAAGTGAAATATCTACACAGACATGATACCAGCTTTTTCCTACAGATATACTACTGATATTATGCAACATCTACCAATGTTCTTTCATAGAGAAATCTTGCTGATAGTTCTGCTTCTTTCCCAACATAATCATTACCTTAGTAGCTGGTTTTACAAACTTCCTGGCAACAGTGTGGCATATTCCTATTTTCTGTGAAGAGTGCATCCTTTATGATGCCTCTGTAGTTTTGGTTTCTCCATCACTTTTAGCAATAAATTCATCAATTTTGTGTTGGGAAGCACTTACAATGTTTGTAGCTATTCTGGAAAAACTTTATTGTTTATCAAAGAAGTCATTGTACTTTGTGGGAAAATACCACTGAAGTTTTCATGGTTTCCTGCTGTTATTGGAAATCATTTTTATAATGGATGTCACCCTGGAGGGCTAGGGGCAAATGCATCACCAGTCCACTACAATCCAGTTTTCACATTTTTCTGGTCATAGTTCCTATTCTTACAGGCTTACATTTTTGTTAGCTTATTATCACAGTCATATTCTCACTTCTCCCAGCACATATTGCTTTACCCCACTTCATTTTTCCTTGAACCTGTTCTTTATATCTAAGATGTTATCTTGAGTTACGGTATTTACAAAACTATTTTCATAAGTACCACTTTTGAGTCATTGATCTGTTTTTGTCAATTAGAGATAATCATAGTATTAAAGACTGAACATACAAATTCAATAAGCAAGAACAATGACATATGTTAGCTGAGACAAATATACTTACACTGTAACTGAACGTTAGCTAAATTGAGCTGATGTGATGCTGGGATAACCCAGGGGTTCAAGAATCTCATTTTGAGCAAACACACCTGTTTTTTTCTCTTTCCTTCTCTCTCTCTCTTTTTTTTTCCTTGTTGTTCTAGGTGGTTTCCTCATCTACCTTCTTCACCTTCTTACTCTTCTTTCTTTTCCCCATTCCTCTGTTGTTGTTGTTGTTGTTGTTTTGAGAGTTATGGTATTAAAATGGAAAGAGATCTTGTGATCATTAAGTCCAATGACTTCCTTTTACAAGTAAGAAAAATTGAAGTCCAGAGAGGTTCAATGAACTAATCCAAGTCAGAAGGATCAGACCTGGTCTCCTGGCTCCCTTCACTCATGGCCAGTGTGAAAGTTTCCATTTTGCCGGGAAGCCTTCTCCTTCAGCTCTTCTTCCTGGTCTTTTCTTGGCACTGACATAGTGATTAAGGATGTTCATTATCAGAGCTAAGAAAGTAGCGTGTTAAGTGAGTCAAAACTTCCCTCCTCTGTTTCCTCTCATCCCTGCCGCTATAGAATATTCACTCACAATCTCTGTGCATTCTCCCTCTGAACGTATGTTGAATTTTTACACCATTGCCCTAATTCATGCTGTCATCATCTTTCTCTTGTACTACTTCTACAACCTCTCTTCTAGTTGCTCTGCTTTTAAGAACTACTTCCACCCCTCAAGCCCTAAAATCCAAGTATCCATCCATCCATCCAAGTATCCATCCATCCATCCATCCATTTCGCTGTGGCCAGAATGGCCTCACAATGTCACTCTCATCTCTTTTGATGATTCTTAAATCCCTACAAGATAAAGTCCAGCCTTTGAACAAGGCATCTGACTACCAAGTCTGTTTGTGGTCTGGTCTCTGCTCTCCTGTCTGGTCTTATCTTTATCACTCTGGGTATTAGTCAGGCTAAGTTATGATATACTAAAAAAAAAAAAAGGCTCCAAAATCTTAGTGGCTTAATACAACAAAAGTTTATTTCTTATTTATACAAAGTGTGCTGCAAGTCTGGATGTCTCTCCAAAGGTCCTGTTTTCTATGCACTGATTCAGAGATCCAGCTGCCATGACAATGTGGCATTTCCATTTTACTAGGTTTCCTCCACAGTTGCCATGGAGGAGAAAGAGAGAGCTGGAAGGTGAGCATGAGTTCTGTGCTTGACCAGTTTATCACTTAATTGCAAGGGGGCTGAGAAACGTGGGGACTACTATCTCTACTATGTTCCCTCCTTGCAACTAGAGATCTGGAAATACCTGACTACTTATTTCCTGAGTACAAACTCTTTTAAAGCCTCCTTGTCTTTCCACCAAGGCATTCCACCCTGCCTAGAATATCCTTCTTGCTGACCTCACAAACGCAAACTCAAGTCTCTGTTTCTTCTAAGCCATAGCTGACTTTCTCAGGCTAACTTGGTGCTTATTCTCCAGTGTTCCCACAGCATCTTGTAATTACCTCCACCTTAGCTCTTTTTATATTGTTATAGACATTTGCCTGGCTGTTCCCCTCTAAATAGAAATTTCTTTGTGGATAGAGAAAGTGTATTTTCATCTTTAAGTCTTCAGTTTTAATACAGTGGAACGTAGAGCCTTTTCTTATCTGTCATTGAACAAATAGTTGAAAGAGATGACTAAAAAAGTGTAGTTTGTTCTGTTATATCACACCCCTGCCACTACCACCTTAACCCAAGAAGCCACCTTCTCTTGCTTGGAAAACCACAAGACCCTTTCTGATATTCCTCTTTCATTCTTGCCCATATCCAGCTCACTCTCCACTCAGCAACCACATCATTATGAAACATGAATCTGAGTGGGCCTTCCTATTTCCTTAGAATAAAATCCAAACATTTGAATTCCTTCCCATGACCCCCTGCCTGCCAATCTGGCTTGAGCTCACTCTCTATCCTGTGGCTCCCACAGTGGCCTCCTCTTAGTTTCCTGAACCCACTAAAATTTTTCTTTCCCTAGGGCTTTCTCAGGGCTGGTTCCTATGCCTGGAATGCTCCTACTTCCTCTTCTTTCTTGGTTAGTTCTTTCTCAGTCTTTAGCTTAAATGTCACTTCTCTAGTAGTTATGATTGTTTTGTTTTGATTGCAAATGAGAAAATCCCACTCAAACTACCCTAAATAAAAAAGGGAATCTATTTGTTCTTGTATCTAACAAGTCCAGAAATAGTGCTTGCCTTCAAGAAAGGCTTGATGTGTGTCACTGAGGATCCTATTTCTCTCACTTACTGTATAGCTGTAGCTCTTTCCTCATGGTCACAAAATGGCTGTCATTGTTCTAGATTCACATCCTCACAGCATCATCTCCAGGAGAAGAGAGAGGACCTCTTCTGGTAATTCCTATTCAAGTACAGGGGTTTTCTCTCTTATTGGCCTAAGTTGTATCACATTCCTGTGTCTAAACCAGTCACCTTGGGAGGGACATGAAGACAGTGGGGAGGAATTGGACTTGCTTATACCAACAGGACCCTTCTCTGGCATTGAGGATGGGACCCCACATAACCTAACAACATGTCTGCATATGAAGGAGAGTTTACATTTTTAAAGGATAAAGAGTACTTCAGGTGGGAAAAGTGGAAAATAAATGAATGGAATTCAACCAAAAAAAAAATTCATTATTCTTTCTCAGAGGAGTCTTCATTGTCCACCCCCATCAAAGGAAGTCCCTTCTGTTATCTTTTTTTTTTTTTTTTTAAGAGAGGAAGGGAGAGGAAGGGCAGGGCAGGGGAAGGGAGAGAGAGAATCTTAAGCAGGCTCTATGCCCAGGGCAGAGCCCGATGCAGGGCTCACTCTCACAATCCTGAGATCATGACCTGAGCTAAAATCAAGAGTCAGATGCTTTAACCGACTGCACCACCCAAGTGCACCCATCTGTTATCTTCTGTTACTGAATCCTACTCACTTCCCTCAAAGCACCTGCTACCGTTTGTACTGTTTGTTTACCTGTTTGTAGTCTGAATCTCCCACCAGGCTGTAACTTCATAAGAGCAGATACCATGCATGATTTATTCCCTAGTACTGAAACATACTAGAAAATTCAATAAATTCTTAAAGAAAAATGAGCAATTTTCTTCCTTTTCAATTTAGCCCTGGTTTTTACCAAGGGATGAAGGAGAGGAGGAGGGATTGGAAGGATAAGGGTGAATGTGAGTACTCTTGAGTGTTAATTTGGCTTTTCTTTGTCTAGAAGCTTAGTCCTCTTTCCCTCCCAATAATCCCTCAAAGTCCCCATCCCCAGATCTTTTCTTATTAACCCATCTGCTCCTGGCTCTCTGGTAATTTGATGTTCCTTTGGGTTTTTCTTTTTAAACCTAGCTTGAATTAGAGTCTCAAAAGGAATCTTAATTTTTAAAAGAGACTTAGTTAAATTATGTTTATTCAGAGAAGACAGGAACCAAGTCTTTCTCTTTGTGTTTCCTCAGCTCCTACAAATGTAGCAGGTGTGCTTTACTGAGTGAAAATTCAATCTCCCTCATGGAAATTGACACTGAAGTCGATGCCAGAGAGTAGCAAGAGAGAGAAGAGGTAGCAGTGAGCCAGGAAAAAGAAAAAACTGCCAGAAAAGAATAAAGGTTGGTAAACAGTGAAGTGCGAAGTCTTTGGGTTAAAGGGACATGGCTCAAGAGAAGGAAAGTTAGAATAAATTTGGGAAAAGGAGGCAAAACGTACAAAATAAAAGTAGAGCTGGAGGGATCTTCTTTCCTTCTTACATGTACCCATTTATTCATCAAGTATTGAGCATCTAGTATGTGTCAGACACTCTTCTAGGAGTCAAGGATACAGGGGTGACCAAAACATACCAGTTCTTGCCATCATGGAGCTCATATTGTAGTGAGGGAAGATAAGGAGATGGAGATGATGGGCTGTTGGATACAGATGTCAGATTGAAAATGCATCTGCTTTTACTCCCTCCTGAGACCCCACAGAATGAAATAAAGGCACTTTTTAAGGCATAGATACTCATGGATAAGACAAAGGGACAAGGAGGTGACAGGACTGAGGGGGAAAGCTGGAAGGCAGACTTGAGAAGTTTACATCCTCAGTGGGTA